TATAGTCAAATGACCAGTTAATAAATTGGAATTGAGTACTGAAAAATATTCATGTAATCCAAAAGAAGTCAGGAGGGAGGAAACAGAAGAAAATAGAGAGGATAAGCAAAACACAAATAATCATAGATTAGACTTACATTCAGCCATGTCAATAAATACATTAAATGTAAATGGTTTAAACACCAGTTAAAAGGCACAAATTATGTTATTGGATAAAAAAAAGACCAGCGGGGCGTGGTGGCTCACACCTGTAATCCCAGCACTTTGGGAGGCCGAGGCAGGTGGATCACAAGGTCAGGAGATCAAGACCTTCCTGGCTAACATGGCGAAAGCCCGTCTCTACTAAAAATACAAAAAATTAGCCAGGCATGGTGGTGGACGCCTGTACTCCCAGCTACTTGGGAGGCTGAGGCAGGAGAATGGCATGAACCCGGGAGGTGGAGCTTGCAGTGAGCAGAGATTGTGCCACTGCACTCCAGCCTGGGTGACAGAGCGAGACTCTGTCTCAAAAAGAAAAAAAAAAAAAGACCAAGCTATATGCTGTCTATCAGAAACCCATTTTTAGCATAATGATACAAATATAAGTTAAAAGTAAAAGGATGGAAAAGGATATACAATGTGAATGTTAATCAAAAGAAAGCTGGAGGAGCTATGTTAATATCAAAGTAAACTATAGAATAAGGAATATTTCTAGAGATAAGGAGGAATATACAATGACAACAAAATGGCTAACTCACTAAGAAGATATCAGCCCTAAATGTGCATGTACCTACAAATAGAGCTTCAAAATACATAAAACAAAAGTGGATAGAATTGTAAGGAGAAATTAGCACACCCACAATTATAGTTGGAGACTTCAACTCAGTAGTCAATAGAACATTTTATAGAAATAAAATTAGTAAATATAGATTTATGGAAGACCCAACACTATTGACCAACTTGACCTGAATCACATTTAACCAATCACTCTACCCAACAATAGCAAGACATATAAGATATATATATATATGTTTTATAAATAAATTACTCTTTAAGATAAACCATATCCTGGACCTCTGTAAAAAAAAAAAAAAAAAAAAAAAAAAATTAAAAATTTAAAAAATTTTAAATCATTTAAATTATGTTATCTGACCACAACCAAAGTAAACTAAAAATAAAACAGAAAGATATCTGTAAAATTCCTGAATATTTATAAATTAAACCTATGCATCATATGCATCAAAATGGAAGTCTCAATGGAAATTAGTAAATATTCTGAACAAAATGAAACGGTAAAATATAAAACTAAAATGTTTAAAAGAAATACAAGAGACTTTGAGTTAGGTGAAAAGTCCTTAAGTACAATGCCAAAAGCATAATTTATCACAGATAAAAATTAATAAATGATCTTCACTTTATCATATTAATTCACGTTGATTGTAGCTCTAATTCAGGGTTTCTCAACCTTAACATTATTGACATTTTGGACCAGATACTTCTTTGTTGTGAAGAGTCCTGTGTATCATAGGAAATTTAATAGCAGCCTTGGCCTCCACCTGCATGATCACAAGGTGCCAGTAATACTTCCTGCCCAATCGTCCCTGAGTAGTAACAACCAAAAATGTCTCTAGACATTGCCAGTTGTCCTTTGGGGAAGGTAAAATCATCCCCCATTCCCTGGGATAAAAACTATTGCTGTCATTTTTTTCATTTTAACTGCTAAATATCTTTTCTTTTTCCTCTGGAAGGAATTTGGGTTGTTAAAAAATTTTCCTATTGCAGACAATCCTATATAAATCTTCGTGTGTGTGTGTGTAGTGTGAATACATGAGAATTTCAGAATAAAATTGCTGGGCCATAAAAAATATGCATCTTTTATTTTGGTAGATAGCGCCACATTTCTTTTCAGTGGATGAACCAATTATGTTCCTTCCAGCAGATGAGGAGTGTCCATTACTTCACCTACCTGCCACATTTTGTATCACTGAATGTGGCAGATGCATGAAGTACCATCTCATTTGTATTTTTCTGATTTTTAGTAAGCTGAGAATATTTTTGTGCATTTATTGTCTATTTATTTGACTTTCCTTTTCAGTGAATTACCTGTTGACGTTCTTTTAAATTTTTTTCCTTATTGAAGGTAGAAGTTCTTCATATATTCTGAACACTAATTTTTTGTTAATTATATGCATTGCAAATACACCTTCAAAGTCTGTGGATTGTCTTTATCTTTTATTATACAGTCTTTCAATGTACAAAAATTTAAATTCTTTACATTAAATACATTACATTATTATTTTGTTTTCTTTCAGTTTTTTATGTTTTCTTTAAAAATTCTTGAGTTATAAACATATTCTCTAATATTTCCCTCTAGAAATTTTAAAGCTTTGTTTTTTGCATTTAATAGAAATTTTAAAGCTTTGGGGTTTTTTTGCATTTAATCTACTTGCAATTGAATTCTATGTGTAGAAAATATTCAATTCTCTTTTGTTTCACATGGACAACCGATTGTCCTAGTATCATACATTGCATTGCATATTCTTTACCACTAGTCAGAAATGCCGCCTCTGTCATTTAATTCTACTCTATTCTATTCATGTATTTGTCTCTTCTATGACATTACCAGACCATTTTAATTGCTGGAATTGTATAATAAATTTTCAGTTATGTTATTGCAAGTCCCTCTAATATTCTTCTTCTTCTTTACTTATACATTTGTTATTTTTATATGTATTTTTAAATTGGGTTATCACATACTCTCTACAGAATTTTTAAATGGAGTGGTTGAATTTGTACATTGATTTGGGAAAATACAATATGTATATAATATGGTGTGTTCCCATAAATGTTTTTTAAATCTCTATTTACTGAAGTGTTTGTAATTGCCTTTAAATAGAGTTTTGTAAGTTTATTTATAAATTTCTAGGCTAACTTGTATTAGGTTTGTTCCTAAGGTTTTGGGATTTTTAAAGCTATAGTAAATGCCATTTAAAAAAACTAAATGTTCACTCTTTGCCACTAGTACAAAGGATAGCAATGTGGGTTTTTTTTTTTTTAATTTTGATATTATATCCTATAATCATGTTGTATTCTGCAATTAATTCTAATAATTTGTCAGTAGATCTTTGTGGATTTTTGGTATATGAGCAATGGTAGTTTTATTTCTTTCTTTTGATTACTTATAACTAGTTTTTCTTGCCTTCCTCTAATGACTATGACCTCTGAACAATGTGTAATGGAAGCTTTGGTAACAGGCATCCTTGTCTTATTTCTGAATTTCAAGATTTACTTTTCCTATATTTTATTATTAAATTTTACCTTTCCATAGGAGAGATCCCCTTCTTCAAGTAAGGAATGTAACCATACTTCAAGTTAATTAATTAATTTTACTCAGGATATAAAATAAAATTTTCAATTTCTTTATAATACATCTCTCTGCAGAGGTCTGTTTTTCTCTTAGATATTATGATCCCAGAATGCTAACCTGATTTGGAAGAAGAAAACAGTGCATAAGATATGACATAATTAGAAGATGGGGTAGCTCAGGGTTGTTTATTGATCTCTCTCTCTCTCTCTCTCTCTCTCTCTTTCTCTCTCTCTGTAGAGAGGAGGTCTCACTCTGTTACCCAGGCTAGAATATAATGGCACAATTATAGCTCACAGTAACCTCAAACTCCTGGCCTCAAATGATCCTCCTCAGCCTCCCAAATAGCTAGGTCTACTAATGTGCACCATCATGCCCACTAATTTTTTTAATATTATTTTTTGCAGAGTCAGAGTCTCCCTATGTTGCTCAGGCTAGTTTTGAACTCCTGGCCTCAAGTGATCCTCCTGCCTCAGCCTCCCAAAGTACTGGCATCACAGGTGTGGGTCACCACACCTGGCCTCCTATCTCTTTTTAAAAAATAATGGTCTAAATAGATAAAGCCATTATAGCCTGTTGTCTATTGGCAGAACAGGTTAAAAATATTTAAAAGAACATTGGCATAACACTCAACTTGTTTAAAAATCTATAATAACTATGGTTAAAATGAAAATAAAAACAGCTAAGTATCAGTCTCAATTTTCTATCTATGGTTCACACGCCTAGTTACACATTAAATCATCTTAGGAGTTTTAAAAAAAATTCATGTCAAGATCCCACTCTAATTTAATTGTTAGCCCTAAGGTGGGTTCCATTCTCTGATGCTCTCTCTCTCTCTCTCTCTCTCTCTCCCCCTCTCTCTGTCTCTCTGTATAATAACCTTTGTTTATGCAATGTCTTGATAGTACCACTTCTTTCTTTTTCCACTCCTAAAATGGCCATTAAACTCAACTGCAGAAAGATTGTTTTACTAACAATTGAGCAAGGGGCATGTTCAGAGCAAACCCTTTTGCTCCCAAAAAGGCCCAGGAAAAAAAAAAAAAAAGTGTGTATAACTAGTGATAAATCCATCACTAGAAAAACAGGTAGCTTCACTTCTTTCCATCAGAAAACCCCAAGCAGTAGAGCCTTCATGCTGGTGAAGTGGATCATCAGCAGAACCAGGCCCCCATCTCCATGGCTGACTTTTGTTGGCTCTGCCACAGCACTTCATCAATAGCACCCTTTTCGTTCCCATCTCCTCCCCTCTCCTATCCTGCTCTACCTCCATCCAGTGACTCCAGTTTTAAGGGAAATTAGAAGGAACATGTTTCCAAAAAGGGTAAAAGCTGTAAATTTATATGAAAGACAGTATGTCAACAGCATTGCCCCCCCAAAAAAAAAAATTAATACCTCAAAATAGCAGACGGGTTGGTCAAAATAAAAATATGAAAAACTGTTGGGTGTCATGTAAAACTTCTGGAATGTCTGAGGTTTCCTTATCCCTGCCTTTTTGAAATTTAGGTTTTCTGCAGGGTATTTCTCTCGCTTTTCAACATTCTCATAACTTCCTTTGGCAACTTCCAGATTTAAATATATGTGTGTATATAGATATGTATCGATAGACAGATAGACAGATAGATAGATGACTTGCAGTGACTGCTTTCCCTCTTCACAGAAACAAGTCAACATTTCGATTTCAAACATCAAAAAAGGTGTCCAGAAATCTCAAGAATTTAAGACATCCTAAGGAACTTTAAGTGCTGTGAGCCACAAGTAACATCAAGAAAAGAGAGGAATGAAGAACCACACTTACAAGCTAAGTAAGATTAAACCCAGCATGGATTTAATATGAACTAATATGAACTCTGAGAAAGAAATTGGTCAGCTAAAAAATATATGGCTTTCCTGAATAGACAAAAGAACAAAGATTTTCCCTTTGGTATACAACTTGTTTCATTTAGTCATTTATATCTTCTCTGAGTGTGAGATAAATGTTGTGAAAAAAATGTTTTTTGATTATGCAAGAGTGGATTGTTTACCTAGTCAGATCAAAACTGGAAAAAAGAACTGCTGCTTCATTATATCTACCCCACAACTTCATAGAAAGTGATTTTAAAAAGAGGAAAACCAAAGATTTATAGAGTTGGGTGCCCATCTTCATGGCTGACTTTCTTTGGATATATATAAAATAAGTATGAACATTAAAGTTCATCTAGCACCCCCCCAAAAAAAACTGAATAGACATTTCTCAAAAGAAGACATACAATGGCCAACAGGTATGTGAAAAAATGCTCAACATCACTGGTGATCAGAAAAATGCAAATTAAAACACAATGAGATATTATCTCACAGCTGTTAGAAGGGCTATTATCAAAATGATGAAAGATAGCAAGTGCTGGTGAAAATGTGAAAAAAAAGGGAAACCCTGTATATTGCTGGTGGGAATGTAAATTAGTACAGCTATTATTAAAACCTGTATTAGGGTTCCTCAAAAAATTAAAATTAGAACTACCATATGATCCAGCAATTCCACTTCTAATTATATATATCCAAAGGAAATGAAATCAGTATATCAAAGAGATACCTACTCTTCCATGTTCATTGCAGAGCTATTCACAACAGCTAAGATTTGGTATCAACCTAAGTGTCCATCAACAAATGAATGGATAAAGAAAAATGTGGTATTTAAATAAGAATGAATAAGACCTAGTATTTGATAGCACAACAGGTGACTATAGTAAAAAATAATTTAGTTGTACATTTTAAAATAACTAAAAGAGTATAATTAGATTGTTTATAACACAAAGGCTTGAGGTAATGGATACTCCATTTACCCTGATGTGATTACTACACATTGCATGCCTGTATCAAAATATCTCATATACCCCATAAATAAATACACCTACTATGTACTCACAAAAATTAAAAATTAAAAGAAAATGATATGCCCTATTTAAAAAAAAAGAAAGACAATGTATTTAGACATAATGGAATATTACTCAGCCTTGAAAAAGAAGGAAACGTGTTATTTGTGACAACATGTAAACTTGAAAGACACTGTGCTAAGTGAAATAAACTGGGCACAGAAAGACAAGGGTCGAATGATATCATTTATATGTGGAATCTAAAAAGTAGGATACATAAAAGCAGAAAGTATAATGTGTTTACCAGGGGTAGGGAGGTAGAGAAGAGAATAGGGAGATGTTGGTCAAAGGGTACAAATCAATGAGACAGGAAGAATAAGTTCTAGAGGTCTGCTGTACAGCATACCTCTGTACTTGAAAAGTACTTGCATACTTGAAAAATTGCTAAGAGAGTATATTTTCAATGTTCTTACCTCAGAAAAATAAGTATGAGGTGATGCATATGTTAATTAACTTGATTTATTCATTATACTATCTCTCTCTCTCTCAAAACATCATTTGTATACCACATATAGATACAATTTTTTGTCAATTAAAGAAATTATTTGAAAAATAATACAACAAAGTCATCTAGCTGGGTGTTTCCCAGAGTTGATTTAAAAAATAAATAAATATGTTTATGCAGGTATGGCAAAAAGTGAAATAATATGAATGATTCAACTTCAGAGAGGTCAGGTGACTTTCCTGGGATCACACAGAAGACTCCCACCTTCTGCAACTCAGTCGGGGTTTCTTTCTGTCACATTACATGCTTAACAATTGTTCTTTAAAATGTTGTGTATGGTAGATATTATTTACGTCCTCAGTGTTTTTATGTTTCCCAATTACAATGTGGGTAATTTGATTATTTCATCATTAATAGAAATTAGATAAGAAGAAGAATCTGTAAATTTCTGAATTCAATTTTATAAAGTACATCAGAAATATTAAATATCTAGAATTATAGCATTTTAAAATTATTTTTAAAATGTAATTATTACAAAATCATGAATGGAAATTCAGGGCCTTGACATTTTGTGGGCTATAAATATTCTGAAAAATTTTAGAAGTTGATGTTCCTCGATGAGAACACATGGACACCTAGGAGGGGAACAACACACAGTGGGGCCTGATGGTGGGGGCAGGGGAGAGAGAGCATCAGGAAGAACAGCTAAGGGATGCTGGGCTTAATACCTAGGGGATGGGTTGATCTGTGCAGCAAACCACCACGGCATGCGTTTACCTGTGTAACAAACCTGCACATCCCTCACATGTACCCCAGAACTTAAAATAAAAATTGATTAAAAAAAGAAAAGTAGAGATAAAAAGAAATGGATGTTCCTAAAAGAAACAACTGATACCTTTTAAAATACGCTTTTAGTATAACTAAGTACTTTTTCAAGTTGGTTAAAAAATTCTAAAAGTAAAGTAGTCAAGTGCTTAAATAATGTGAAAATCATATCTAAAGTTTAAATAAATGTTCAGTCATCCCAACAGAAACAAATCATAAAGAAATGTAAAGAACATATCAAATTCGCTAAATGCATTCTGTATTCATAGTGTACTCACCGAAACATTGTTCGTGGGCTTTTTTTTTTTTTTTTTCTGATTCTTACCAAGTCTACATATTTCTTTTTAATTTTTTCTTTTTATGTTTCCCAAGTTTACAGTTCACATAAAATACCCATTGAAGCAGAGAGAAAAGTGAAACAAATATTTCACAGCTCTTTGGGGATCTGAATGGGTTTTTACAATAAAACCTTGATTACTCGAAGAGCACAAGAGTGCCTGAGACCTGACAGCAGAAACAGAGAGCAGGCAGTTCTAAAGGTGTCAAGGGAGACTCAGAACCTTGTAGAGTTGATGCAGTGGCTCTTCAACCCTGGAACCCAGGCCAAGCACCAAACCAGGAAGACTGCAAACAGCTCTGAACATGGCTATGGTGGCCAAACAAACCAAAAAAAAAAAAAAAAAAAAGGCACTTGGAAAAGATGTGCAAGGTTGTGGTTTCCTGATAAATTAAGATGACACAGGCAGTACCACAGGGCTTGCTTCATTACATTATTGTGAAATCTGGACTCAAATAGAATGAGGCAAACCCACAAGTTAAAGTGTTTTTAAAGTGGCTCAATAATCACTTTGAAAACAGAACACCCTTTCGGGCAGCATGACTGGAACTTTGATCAACAAATACCCAAGAACCACAACCCATCTTTTGTGAACAAATAGTATCAAGGTGGGGGTGGGTTTGGAGTGCACTGGATGCTTTTCTTCTTTCGTCATGAAACCTGGTGGTTTTGTGTTATGTGACATGTTTGTCAGAGATTTGGTAGGAAGCTTGCACCCAGTGAAGGATTTATAAAGGTTATAGGAGATAACACAAAGCTATTTTATCTCTTTTTAAAAAATCAAAGGTGTTACATTTTTTTCTACTTCTCCATTTTTGTTTTCTCATGTAAGAATTAGCTGCCAAAAATATTATTCCCCATCTGGGCATAAGGTTAGTTGGCATACAATTTTCTTCTTAATTTTCATGTTCTGGATTCCTTGATGACCTGATTTTGTACAAATTCATGCTGCAGAGATAAGGATTGATTGACTACAAATCAAGGATTTCTGTAGAGTGGGAGTGAGAAACAGAGGAAGAGGAGGGACACCACAAACCATCTTATCTTTTCAAAATGTGATTGGTGTATTTCCAACATTGGCTTACCTTTCCTTACACTGTCCATAAATTTTGTGCAGGTATAAGCTTATCCTACACATGTCATTTGGGCCAGACCAACGCTGCTCTCCCAGAGGATCCAGACCACAGCTTGGGAACCATTCATCTACCACATGACTTCAAATGACTCCTCTAGGGACCACCTGCCATGCTCGGGTACCAGCTCTTCCTCTGAATTCCCAATCCATTTCTTAAGAACTATTGTTTTTTATAAGGTACTGTTTTTAATAACTTTCCAACAATGGTTTATTCATTTATTCATACATTTAAAATACAGACTTTTTTCAGCATCTGCCATGTTGAAGATCCTCCTCTAGCACTACGAATACATTATTGAATAGAACAAAGTCCCTGATTTCATGGTGTTTACATTTCAAGGGAGAACTATTCCTTCTTAGAATAGAATACCATATAAAGTTGTAACATACTAAGTGAAAGTGCTCTGGCCAAGGTTGAGACCACAGTCTACCATGAGCTCCTTGCATTGTGAAGAATGAATATTTCTTAAACACTTAACTGTGTGCCAGGCATTGTGTAAAGTCCTAATATACATTTGCTTCCTCATCAGGTGGGAAGTTAAGCAGGAGGCTTTCTAAAGTGTCTATTAAAACCCAGGTTATTTGGTTGGCCACTTTAGCCTGCGGTGGATTATCTGCACATTTTGCCCAAAGATCACTTAATCTGTGGCATAGAAAAACTATATTCAATTGGCCGGGTGTGGTGGCTTATGCCTGTAATCCCAGCACCTTGGGAGGCCGAGGCGGGTGGATCACAAGGTCAGGAGTTCGAGACGAGCCTGGCCAAGATGGTGAAACCCCGTCTCTACTAAAAATACAAAAATTAGTGGGGTGCGGTGGTGGGTGCCTATAATCCCAGGTACTTGGGAGGTTGAGGCATGAGAATCACTTGAACCCGGGAGGTGGAGGTTGCAGTGAGCAGAGATCACACCACTGCATTCTAGCCTGGGCAACAGAGCAAGACTCGGTCTCAAAAAAAAAAACAAAAAAAAAAAGAAAAGGAAAACTCTGTATTCAATAGGTCTCTTGAAATAACTTGAATTTGGTGGGGAATGAGGAGGGATTTCTAATAAGACATGTAATGTAGTAGAAAGATCTAGGCCTACTTTCAAATCCCATTTTTTCCACTCACTGGAACTTCCTTAGTAAGTTGGGGTTAATTAATTTCTCCCAGTATTATTGTAAGGATTACATTGATTTTATTTAACAAATTTTTATGACGTGCCTGTGGTGTACTAGGCACTGACCTTGCTACTGAGGATATAACAACAATCAACGAGACATATAAAAGTCACTGCTCCATGAGGTGATCTAAAACCTTGCCCTTTTGCTTCCTCTGTCTTCCTTTTTTTAGAGGGGAAGAAGGTCATGTGGGAATCAGTTAAATCATTCGTGGGTAGAAGACAAGTTCCAGCTTTGTGGGAAACCCCCTAGCCTTCGCCAGGTACACCCTGACAATCTCAGAACTGATCAGGTAAACCCAGCTCTGAGTTAGACCTTTCTGTGGCCTGTCAGGGAGAGAAGAACGGGATGTGCAGAATCCAGGCAAACCTGTTATCTGGACTGTCAGGAATGGGAAGCAGCATTTCCAGATCCCAGCTGAACAACCAAACCATCACGTATGTTCAAAGGGCTTCTTATTAAACACATTTCAAATCAATTTGCAAACTTTAAAAATCTGTCTTTAGTTTAAAAGCTCTAAATATTAAAAAATCAGTAAACTCTCCTTTAGCACAACCCCACCCTCTGCCATTCTTCTCTTTCTCAGCACAATGGCATTACTGTTCTAACCACTCAATATTATTCAATATCTTGTGTACTTTTAAGAAAATTTTAGGCACAAGAAAAAAGTTTATTTGTGAGGTGAGTTAACTCTTGTTTAAAAGAAATGGGTGGGGTCATATATAAACCTTACAAAAGGTTAATGCATAAAACACAAATATAGTTCAATTTCCTTTTTATGTGATTAGAGAAACTTACCTACAGAGTTGCCTATGACACCTACAAAAGAGGTGATGATAAGAATGATACAGTTCATGCTGTTCAATGGTTCCTTCGAACACCAGATATGTTAGTGTGATTTACCTACAGAGTTGCCTATGATACCTACAAAAGAGGTGATGATAAGAATGATACTGTTCACGCTGTTCAATGGTTCCTTAAATTAACGAACACCAGATATGTTAGTGTGATTCCTTTTTCCTCTTTCAAGTTCTTTATTTACCACTCCATGCCCTCCAGGTTAGCTGAGTTTAGTGCTCTGGAATAATGACTAGTCGAATTCACTGCAATTTTTCAATATGCATAGCATAGGGGCCAAAGGAGAACTTCCCTTCCACTCTCTGAAGGTTCACTGGCAAAAGGCAGATTAGTAGGAGAAATGGCATACAAATTACTAGCATCCATGAGGGAGAAACACAGAGTGATTGCCTCATACCCCGTGGGGTAGAGGTGTTTACATACCCTACATCTTAGGGGAAAGGAAATGGAGACGTATAGGTGACTTTATGGGAACAGAAAACAATTTTTAGGGGAATTCACTGGACTTGAAGAACATATGATGGCCTGGGACGAAGTCTGTTGGGCCTGCAGAGTGGACAATGGTTTGTGACAAAAGTCTGTCCAGGTGTGTTGACAGATTTCAGTCCTCCTTCCTGTGATAGGAGATGAGTTAATGGAAACTCAGGGAAAACCTAAGGTAATTGTTTTCTTCTTTGGTGGGTCCAGACTTTCAGCAGATAAGGAAACTTCAGAGAACAAATTTATCCTGTGCTTTGGGAGATAGGGAGGGGAGAAGGTCAGGGAGACCTTGAGGCTCCTTCAGTTCAGCACGTCAAAGGGCCATATTTTAGGGTATCAGTTTCTGAGGCCCAACACTAGAAACAGGAACGTGTTAACAATTCAGTTAAAAGGGAGAGAGAGAGATGAACTGAGTGAAGTGCGTTGTAATCCTTGCTGAGGTTAAGCCAGTGATAGTTGGCTCTCAGGCGATCATGTTCACCCTCCTAGTGTCAGGGAGACATCTTTACTGCTTTTCCTAACAGAATGTAAGAGATACTGTGGCAGGGCAGGGAATTGGAAGCAGATAGCAATGTGGACATCTGACTTTGTTAGCAAATGACTAACCTGAATACAATGAAGTTAAACATCTGCAGACAGTTTCTTGTTGTAGGCTTTTTATATCCATGTGGAGTGGTGGGGTTGTGATTTAGAAAGCTGATGGGTTGTGAATTACATTTTTCACCTTTTAGTTTAAGGATTGAATATGACACCTTTGGGTGGAAGAACACATCAGTTGGATTTTACTTTTTAAAAAAATGCGACTGAGAGAAAGTGAATCAGCTGTCTTTTGTATTTATTCAGGTTTCATAGTGCTGACTCAGGGACAAGTGTCTTTGTTTTATATCAAATTCTGGGTCTTCTTCAGCCGAAATGAATCAAAGAGACTCAGAGAAATGTGAGTTGACTTTTTTAAAGGAAACAGAGGAGCATCTGGTGTCAGAGCTTTTAGTCCAGAGTTTCATATGGATGATAGCTGTAGTGCTTTCTAGAATTCTCAGGAATTAATTACAACCAGATTTGTTTTTGTGGCATTCACATCCCATCTATTTGTCAACTGCTCATCCACTTATCCAACTTCTCCATCTCCATCTCCATTTCTTTTTTCCAAGGAAAATCACACAGGAAAATAATAGACTCAACTTGGAAACATCAAAACAGTCAAAGCAGTCTTTCTGAGAACAAGGCTTATATCCCTCTGCTTGGTCTGTTTCCCTGAAAACACCCTGAATGATGTTTTTCCTATGTTGAACTCTTCAAGATCCATATTCTTAGACACTGGGCCAAAAATAATGGGCTGCCTTTCCCTATGTGGGATCTTGCCCTTCGACCTAAGCTGCCCACACAACCACTGAGCAATAATCCTGTTGGCCTCTTAGAGGGAAATAATGAAAACAAGAAATTGTCCCTCCAACTTGAGGGTTTTTTTTCTCCATAAGTCTTAAAGTTAATGAGAGCAGTAAGAATGCATGTGGCTTTAGTATAAATATAAAAACTATTAACTGTAACGATAGAGAAGAATTCATAATTCATAATCATTTCCATCTTTCACGTCGAATATTTCAGGGTTTGGAAAAAACATTTGCATTGATATTTTTCTGTAGCCTAAATTATCCACAAGTATTATGTATCACTAAATTGTGTGTTCAACATAAACACCAAAGTATATAACTTTGAATATTTCCACAAATACAATGGATAAAAAGGTAATTTTGTTCACGAGTCAATGAATTTCGGAAGTAGAGGTGGCAATTCAAACAAACACTACGCTCCAAACCCATCTCTTTGTGCTTCTTCAAGAATCAAGAATCAAGGCTACAATTCTTTTTTTTTTTTTTTTTTTTTTTTGAGACGGAGTCTAGCTCTGTCGCCCAGGCTGGAGTGCAGTGGCGCAATCTCGGCTCACTGCAAGCTCCGCCTCCCGGGTTCTCGCCATTCTCCTGCCTCAGCCTCCCAAGTAACATGTTCTTTGGCCAGTTACTTAAGTTTTCTTTTTTCAATTTTCTCATCCGTAAAATGGAGCTACTTGTTTCTACTGCATAGAAGTATTATGAGAATTGCAAGTATTAGAACAATGCCTGCAGTATAGCAAGAACTCAATGTTAGCTATCATGTTTATCTAAACTTCCTAATGCACTTTGTAACTTCTGTGCCTAAAGTGAAGATCCAGGAATACTTAAAGAAATCTCTGAAACAGTTCCTTCTTCGTTTTTTATTTGCTTGTTTTTATTTTTTGTTTTTAGACGGAGTTTCACTCTTGTCGCGGTGGCGCCATCTTGGCTCACCGCAACCTCCGCCTCCCAGGTTCAAACGATTCTCCTGCCTCAGCCTCCCGGGTAGCTGGGATTACAGGCATGCACCACGACGCCCAGAAATTTTTGTATTTTTAGTAGAGACAGGGTTCCAAACCATGTTGGTCAGGCTGGTCTCAAACTCCCAACCTCAGGTGATCTGCCCGCCTCGGCCTCCCAAAGTGCTGGGGTTACAGGCGTGAGCCACCACACCCAGCCAACAGTTTTGTAACTTCAGCACCACTGGCATTTTGGGCTGAATAACTTTTTGTTATGGGGGTGCTTTTCTGTGCATTGCAGATGTTTAGCAGCCTCTACTCACCAGGTGCCAGGAACATCTCCCCATTTCAGTCATGACAACCCAGTATGTCCTCAGACATAGTCAAATGTCCTCTGGGAGAATGAGGGGACAGAGTCAAAACTGCCCTTGACAAGGACTCTAGAATATTCAAAAATTTAAAGCATATGTCTAAAGCAGATTTTCTCTATCAATGGCATTGTCCAACCAAACATTGTCCAGAGATTGAAACAGCATCTATTTCTTTTTTAAAAAAATCTAATTTCTGATAGGATAATTTAGTTACAATTTGTGGGGAAAAGTTGAAACAAGAAAACAAAAGGGAAAAGAAGGGAGAGAGAAAGGAAGAAAAAACAGGAGAGAAGGAAGAAAAAGAGAAAGAAAAAGGAGGGAAGAAAAAAGAGAGAAAGATACTTAATTGTACAAGAATTCTCTATCACTTAACTAGAGACCAGGTCCTCTCTTCCTGTACGCTACAGCAATTGCCAGTTTTTTAGCTAACACACAGTAACTGAAATCTAGAAGCTTTCTCTAAAAAGCATTTGCTTTAAAAGATTAAGGAAAATCCCATTAGATGGTTGATGGCCTGTGTTTTGTTACATAAGACATGTGGGCTAACTTAAAGATCAACCACTCCTTTCAGTGCTCACTTCTGAAATGGATTTTGTTGGAGGGAGAAAAAGAGGAAAAGATAAAAAGGAACCAGAAATGTCCATTCATTTTGTTCATGAAAATTGCTTTTAGTATTTATTTATCTCCAGGTCTTTGTTAGACAGGACCTCCATTATTATCTTACTCATCTATTTTTATTCCTTTTGACAAAAATTCACATTTTCTTCTCATTACTACAAGATAGTTTAAATCAATCTCCCTAGTGCTCAGGTTGGTGTCGATAAGGCTAACTCGGCAGTTTGGTTTTTTAAAATTGATGAGGAGGAAGAAGAACTCGGATTTAATTATAACCAGCAAAATGTAACTCTGATCCCAAAAGATCACCAATACATACTTGAGGCAAATAGAAATGTATACATTAAAATGTATTAAATAGTCCAGTCCAAACTCATTCAGAAAACATCAGCCTAACCTCCAAGAGTAACTAAAAACAATGTAAATTTTTCTTTCACTTTCCTTAAAAATTCCAGGAGGAAAATTATGTTCATAATGCGGACTAGAAACCTCTTTTGTCCATTTGCCACTAGCACTGCCGCCCATATGTAGCCGTGTCCCCCAGCAGTTCCTGTCCTTTGAATCTCGCCTAGAACTCAGTCGCCAACACAGTACTTGTATTTTCAATTTCTCTCATCCCTTCCACCTTACCAATGTATTTGTTTTCTTCTCACAGTAGTTGTCTGTTCTTTTGATGTCTATCCAGCTATGATTCCCAACCTCATAAGGTGTTTTCTTCTCTCTCTCTTTTTTTTTTTTTCTTTGAAACAGAGTGTCGCTCTGCCATCCATGCTGGAGTGCAGTGGTGCAATCTTGGCTCACTGAACCTCTGCCTCCTAGGTTCAAGTGATTCTCCTGCCTCAGCCTCCCAACTAGCTGGGATTACAGGCACACACTGCCAATGGTAGTTGTCTCTTCTTTCTATGTCTATCCAGCTATGATTCCCAAACTCATAAGACAGTCTCATAGGCCCATTAAGTAAAGAAATACACAATCTCTATCACTTAGAAAAGACAGAAGCTATGAATACTCATGTAAATATATTTATATTACATATAACATAATATGTGTGTGTATGAGTGTGCGTGTGTGTGTGTATGTGTATGTGTGCATAACCCATCCCTGTACATAACAAATTGAGGGTGTTGGCTTGTTTATAGAATAATGAAATATGAAACTATTCTCACAGTGAAATAATTGCATGAAACTTTTATCAGAAAGGAAGACAATTTTCATTGCCTTTCTAATGAGTGGCTTGGCTATGTATGTTTCTTCTAAGCTTTTATGACTGTTAGTACCAAGATGAAGATGAAGTTGGGAATCAATTCAGCTGCTCTTTCTTTCCTTATTTTTTCTTTTTGAGAAAGGGTCTTACTCTATCACCTAGAATGGAGTGTAGTGGCATGACCATCGTGGCAGCTTCGACCTCCCAGGTTCAAATGATCCTCCTGCCTCAGCTTCCTGAGTAGCTGGGACTACAGACATGCACCACTTCATCTGGCTAATTTTTTAAAATCATTTTTATTATTATTATACTTTAAGTTCTAGGGTACATGTACACAACATGCAGATTTGTTACATATGTATACATGTACCATGTTGGTGTGCTGCACCCATCAACTCGTCATTTGCATTAGGTATATCTCCTAATGCTATCCCTCCCCCCATCCCCAGCCCACGACAGGCCCCAGTGTATGATGTTCCCCTTCCTGTGTCCAAGTGTTCTCATTGTTCAGTTCCTACCTATGAGTGAGAACATGCGGTGTTTGGTTTTCTGTTCTTGCAATAGTTTGCTGAGAATAATGGTTTTCAGCTGCATCCATGTCCCTACAAAGGACATGAAATCATCCTTTTTTGTGGCTGCATAGTATTCTGTGGTGTTTATGTGCCACACTTTCTTAATCCAGTCTGTCATTGATGGATGTTTGGGTTGGTTCCAAGTCTTTGCTATTGTGAATAGTCACCTGCCTAATTTTTTGATTTCTTTGTAGAGACAGGGCCTCTCTGTGTTGCCCAGGCTGGTCCCAAACTCCTGAGTTCAAGGGATCCTCCTGCCTCGTCCTCCCAAGCTGCTGATCTTTCATTCAGTTTCATTCAACTCTTCCATTACATTCAATTTCAGTTAGTTCTGCCTTCTGTTTTATTTGAAAGCATGAGGAAAATGACAACTTCTATTTAATACTGTACTTTTAATGGCTTTCAAAAATCACATAAGTGGTTAAAAGTCCAGAGGGACTCAAGATCAGTGTTCACAACCTATTAACTTTTAACACATTCTCCCATTCTGCTTTGTGCTTTGAAATATTTGTCTTAAAACATAATTAGTCTTAAAAACTGCATTAATTACAATAATGTCATTTTCTTCTTTTCAGAGTTTTTGTTCCATGTTGAGATACCCATGCCACTTTAAAAAACAAACTATCCTGACATCTAATTACTTTGTGAATGATTTTAATGGCAGTGACAATAGAGATGGAAGAATTTTTGAAACAATACTAGTTCCACAGCTTTCATGTAAGATACCAAGGTTTAACATCCTCAGATTGGCAACGAGATTGGATAACTTCTGGGGTCTTTTTGAAATTGTATCACTCTTTTCTCTAGGATCCTACTTCTGGAAAACAAGATTAATACTAGTACTACTAAGACACAAAGATTTTTAAATGGAAATAGGAATATCTTCAAAGGATGGATGGACATTGAGTGCACTGTATGACAACATTCTTGTATAATAAGATCCTTTCCTTAGAGAATGGGGCAAATCCAGATGGAATGTGAGAAAGACTTCAAGGTTTCAGTGGAATATGCTTATATTGGGAACTGTGTTAGTTAAGAATAGGTTTGGCGGCTGGGCGCGGTGGCTCACGCCTGTAATCCCAGCACTTTGGGAGGCCGAGGCGGGCGGATCACGAGGTCAGGAGATCGAGACCATCCTGGCTAACACGGTAAAAACCCCATCTCTACTAAAAATACAAAAAACTAGCCGGGCGTGGTGGCGGCGCCTGTAGTCCCAGCTACTCGGGAGGCTGAGGCAGGAGAATGGCAGGAACCCGGGGGGCGGAGTTTGCAATGAGCCAGATCACGCCACTGCACTCCAGCCTGGGCGACAGAGCCAGACTCCGTCTCAAAAAAAAAAAAAGAATAGGTTTGGCTACACATGACAGAAAACTCAACATAGTCACTTACACAGGATTAAAACATATCCTTGTCATATGAAAGTCTAGAGGTGGTATGTAGCTCTGGGTGTCGGGGATCAAAACTCCTTCTAACTGGGAACCCAGCTCCCCATTCCAAAGATGGCTTCATATTCAAAATGGCTGCTGGGGCTCCAGATATAGGGTCCACCTTCCAGCTAGAAGAACAAAGAACCAAAAAGGGGCATGTTCTTCCCTGTAAAGATACTTTCATAAGTTGAATAGGATGCTTTCATAGGCATCTCATTGGACAGAGTGATTAGAACTTAGTAATTGGCCACAATCAGCTGGAAAGAAGGCTGGCAAATAGAATATTTAAGGCGGTCGCTGTAATCAGCTAAAAATTCATGAGTTACATAATATATAGAAAA